AGACCATGAATTTAGTTGGTTTGTTAGAGTTATCCAGCTAATGAATTGCCACTGCACATTCACTCAGACAGCAACAGCGACAGAGACTGAGCAACGGCACGCGTAACGTTAGCGACCACCACCACCACTACCGAAATGACGAACAGGTTTGTTTGCGCCGCACACACCTGCATTGGTGGTGGTAGCTCAGGGAAGCATTCGTGGCCGCAGAGAGAGAGAGAAGGGGATACACTTACACTGAAACACAGACTGTNTGTTCTAACAGCACTGAAGCATCACCACCATCATCACCATCACCACAACAACACACACCCGGGTGACAGAGGAAGAAGAAGACCATTCGAAGAAGTACTCAGGGCGTCGACACCGATCGCCGAAACGATCACAGTTGTGTCACCACCAAAACTGTGTGTTTGCGGAAGTGAATTCACCTGGCCACAATGAATCTCCTCATCTCCTCCTCTTTCCTCTTCTTACTTTCCATAACCTTCCACTTGACCACCGCCCAGCGCAACCCCTCCATCTCCTTCATCAGCAAGGACAAGGTGGTGAACATCGGCGACCAGCTGGAGCTGAAGTGCCAGGTGCAGGACGCCGGCAACTACCCGGTGCAGTGGAGCAAGCTGGGCAGCCCCCAGGTGACCCTCTCCACCTCGCAGACCATCGTCACGCCCAGCACCCGCCACCACATTCGCTACGACGACCGCGACAGCACCTACACGCTGCTCATCGACAAGGTCCAGGAGATTGACGCCGGCACCTACCGCTGCGAGATCAGCATCGGCGCCAGCAACTACCACCTCAAGAGTAGTGTAAGTGATTGGAGAGTGCGGAAGTTGTTTTTCTCTGGTAACCCTTAAACATTTGATCCTTTTTCTCTTTTGTAGTTTACCGCCGACACCCCCGTCATCGTTCGCATTCAACCAGTGATCTCCGACAACTCCACCCGCTCAGTGATCACCACCGCCGGCTCCAGGGTCGACCTGCAGTGCTACGGAGCAGGTAACCGCGGTTTTCATAGTTTCTAAAACTCCAAACCTTACCTATTTTAACCCCTTTAGGCTATCCCCAACCGATAATCAGCTGGCGTCGGGAGAAGCACCGCCTCCTTCCCAATAACATGGCCTTCTTCAAGGGAAATACCTTGACGATTGGAAACGTGAGCAAGGACGACCGCGGCACCTATTACTGTGTGGCGGACAACGGCGTCGGCAGCGGCGCCCGCCGCCATATCGGCGTGGAGGTGGAGTTCGCCCCGTACGTGTGGAGCATCCAACCGAAGGTGGAGCAGGCGATGCAGTACGACGCCGACCTGCACTGCCGCA